TAATGAAATGACCGAAATGCATAAGGCTGGGCTGAGTTTATTTTTTCCTATTTACTTGATCTTCATTATTGGCTTTCTTGTTATTTTGAGCAAGTTTTCATCAAAAGTTTCAAATCGATTGTCTAAGTCATCAGTTCAAGTTCTTGTGACAGTTGTTCATCTTTCATTCACTCAATTACTTCAAGCAATACTCAATGTGTTTAAACCAGCAGAGATCTACATTGAAAATGAAACTTCATATCATATAAAAACAGTTTGGTATTATGATGGAACAACAGCATATGCTAGTCCAGAGCATCAATGGTTGATGATAATCACTTCAGTTGTAGTGGGATTTATATTAATTCCATATATGGCAGTGATACTCTTTGGTAAATATCTACTGAAACTTGACAGATCAAGAGAATACATTCGTCCCTTCTTTGAAGCAATCCATGCACCTTACAAAGCCAATAAGTGGTACTGGTTTGCAATAAATCAGCTTTTTGTATTATACGTGTATCTAATTGATACAATACAAGAATTGAAAAACTTGCGATTCTCCTTGCTTTTTGATTTACTTTTGTTTTTAACTTTTCAAGTATTTCTTTTATCTCAAGCCAGTTTTATGCCTTTTAAAAACAAACTACTCAATGCTGTCAACATTTTCCTTCTTCTAACCATCAGTGCTACATTTTACACAGCTATATATTTTTTCTATGATTATCCCAAAGAAGTTGCAATTTATATCTCAGTTTCTTTTTGCCTAGTTATCATTATCTTCTTCCTAATCATCACCTATCATGTCCTACTGGTGACAAATAAACTGGACAAACTATTCCTACTTTTGCAGTCTATGAGGACATTATTTTCTAACATATTCAAGAAAAAAGAAACTGTACAACCATCAACAAATCAAAGACGCCATGTTGCATATTATAATGATATACAAGATACAGGTGATTATACTCAGGCTCGTGAACCTCTTCTTGAATGGATGTCCAATTAAGTTTGCTTCAAAAACAAGTATATAAATATTAATTAATTACTAATTTTTGTAAAGTGCTTTAATTTTAATTGTTTGGCTAAGTGAATGTAGATACTAATTTCTTTAAAAAAATTTTTTTTCAATAGAAGTTTGAATAGATTGCCATAACAATAAAAACAGCAATGCTTGCAAAATCAATACTTTACAATTCTGTGATTGCTAAAATCAGCAACATATACATGGCCTGTAACATCAATGGTAACACCATAAGGAAAGTTCAGACCAGTACACTGATGAATCTCCTTACCAGTTGGATTGAGCACACGCAAGCAATGATGATTAGAATCAGCTATAAAACGATATCCTTCATCATCCATTGCTTGCTCATAAGCATGGAGCCAGTATGTATGTCAATGTTCATTCAAATAATATTGAATCAGAGGTATATTTTCTAATGGAATCTATAACAGCATACTCTTCTTCTGATTTGCAATTTGATAATATTGATTATGTCGAAGTACCTGGTCAGGCTGATCTTTCAACAAGTGTCTTCTATTTTATGAACATAAACAGACTGATAATCAATGGGTCAGAAGCCTGTCCTAGCATTTTTTCAGAAAACTATGGGTCTGTTTTTGAAATAATAAAATCAAAAGTTGCACTTCAAGGAGTGATATCTTTTCATGACAATACAGCTAATCATGGGCCTGCATTTCAGTTGCTTGATGATACAATAGTATACTTGCAGAATGGACTGAGAGCTAACTTTACCAATAATAAAGCGAAATCATTAGGAGGAGCCATTTATGCTACAGGTGATGTAAACATAATGAATCAATGTACATTTCAAATAGATTTTAAAACCTATAAAAATGTTAGCATGAGTTTTATTAACAATACTGCGCAAATAGCTGGAAATGCTATATACTCTCAAAAACTTTATAGCTCTAACTGCTATATGGATGCAGTACATTGTAATAAAATTAAAAAAGTATATAAAAAGATTTTTAGAAACACTTCTTCAACCGATGTTGTATCATTTGGTGCTCATATAGTAGCATGCAATAAGAAGCTTTCATATGCACTCTATCCTGGGGAGTTGCTACAAATACCAATCAGTGTCAATGACAGCAATCATACTCACACATACAGTGTTTTAACAGTATCAGTTGGTGAGAGAAAAAATTATCGACGAAAAGATATTGACTGGTTTTTTAATGGTAAGCAAGTTACATATACCACCATTATTAAGGGAACAACCAACTGTACAAATATCAATTTGACTATTCACACGGCTCACCTATCAGAAAGCAATAGGAGAGGATGGCTGCTTTTTAGCATATCAAACCCAAGCTCAATAACTGCAGTAAGAATCACACTAAATAATTGTCCGCCTGGTTTTAAACTAAATTCTTTTACGGGAGCCTGTGGCTGTTTACCAAATTTTGAAAAAAATATTAACCATTATTCAAATGAAAAAGAGTTGAAGTGCAATATCAATGATGTCAGCTTTACCAGACCATACCGATATTTGTGGCTTGGCTTAGGCAGCAATAGTTCAATTGAATATAGTGTAACTTGCCCTTCTGGATATTGTAACATTTATAATTATTATGGCAAACTAAAAATTCATGATTCAGGTTCATTTGTTGTTTCGTCATCAACAGGAGATTCAGAACCATTGTGTCATGGCTCACGAAAAGGTTATCTTTGTGGGAAATGCATCTCCAATTATAGTGTAGTGTTTGGCTCTACAGTGTGCCAATTGTGTACTAATAAATTATGGCTTGTCACATCAATCGTTTACATACTAACTGGTCCTCTCATTGTATTCCTATTGTATACACTAAAATTAACATTATCAACTGGTACACTAAATAGTATCATATTCTTTGCACAAGTAGCTAATGCTAGAATTTCAGGGTATTTAGATATACCATGCAGTGACTGTAATAGTGTATCATATGACTTCATTAGATTTTCTAGTGCCTTCATATCTTGGCTGAACCTTAACCTTGGTTTTCCAGTATGTTTTTATAATGGAATGACTGAAATCCAAAAGGCTGGGCTGAGTCTATTCTTTCCTAGTTACTTGATCTTCATTATTGGCTTCCTTGTTATTTTGAGCAAGTGTTCATCAAAAGTTTCTAATCGATTGTCTAAGTCATCAGTTCAAGTTCTTGTGACAGTTGTTCATCTTTCATTCACTCAATTACTTCAAGCAATATTCAATGTGTTTAAACCAGCAGATATCTACATTGAAAATGAAACTTCATATCATATAAAAACAGTTTGGTATTATGATGGGACAACAGTATATGCTAGTACTGAACATCAATGGTTGATGATAATCACTTCAGTTGTAGTGGGATTTATATTAATTCCATATATGGTAGTGATACTCTTTGGTAAATGTCTATTAAGATTTGACAGATCAAGAGAATACATTCGTCCCTTCTTTGAAGCAATCCATGCACCTTACAAAGCAAATAAGTGGTACTGGTTTGCAATAAATCAGCTTTTTGTATTATATGCATATCTAATTGATACAATACAAGGATTGAAAAATTTGCGATTCTCATTGTATTTTGAGTTACTTCAATTTCTAATAATTCAAGTTTTTGTTGCATCTCAATCCTGCTTATTGCCTTTCAAAAACAAATTACTGAATGCTGTAAACATTTTCCTTCTTCTAACCATCAACACTACATCATACATAGCTATGTATTTTTTCCATGATTACCCAAAAGAAGTTGCGATATATATTTCCATCTCCATTTGCTCAAGTATTGTTATTTTCTGCTTAATCATCATCTATCATGTTTTAGTGGTAACAAATAAACTGGACAAACTTTTCCTATTATTACAGTCTACAAGAACATTATTTTCAAAAAAATTGAACAGGAAAAAGTTTGTAAGGCCATTAAATAGACGACGTCGTGGTGTATATTATAATGATACACATGATACAGGTGATTATACTCAGGCTCGTGAACCTCTTCTTGAATGGATTTCAACTTGAGTTTGCTTCAAAACATGTATATACACATTAATTAAATTATTACTTTTTGTAAAGTGTTTTAAATTTAACTGTTTGGCTGAGTAAATGTATTAATTTCTTTTTTCAAATATTTTTTTTCAATAGAAGTTTGAATAGATTGACATAACAATAAAAACAGCAATGCTTGCAAAATCAATATTTTACAATCCTGTGATTGCTAGAATCAGCAACATATACATGGCCTGTAACATCAATGGTAACACCATAAGGAAAGTTGAGACCAGTACACTGATGAATCTCCTTACCAGTTGGATTGAGCACACGCAAGCAATGATGATTAGAATCAGCTATAAAACGATATCCTTCATCATCCATTGCTAGTCCAGTAGGATACACAAGACTCTCATCAGTGCTATAAGAGTACAAACCTCTTTTGCCATCTGGAGAGAATACTTGAATGCAGCTGTTATTGAATGTGGCACTTGATGGCTTATTGGTAGTTTGCAACAGCTGAGTTTCCCCCCCTATAAACTCTCCTCCTCCTCCTCCTGGTTTAATTGATGATGAGCCTTTACCATTACGATGTGACATACCTGTAATCAAGTCACTGACCATACTTATTGATCCCGATATATTGAAATGAGGTGGTGAGAGGAGCGATGCAATAGATGAATGCTGTGTTGGTGGTGATGATAGTGAGCTCTTCCTCCCTCCCTCTGATGAGAACAGCTGTACACTCGTGTTATTGTAATACGCTACATGAATGTATCCTGTATTGTCAATGGCCACATCATAAGGATACGTATTGCACTGTATTGTGTACTTGTATACACCCTCTGTACTGAACACTTGTATGGCTTGTTTGGGCCCATCTGTTACGAATGCATGCCCACAATTATCTAAGCATATGCTCATTGGATCAGTTAGATCTGCTGCTCCAAATTGACCCAGGTACTCACCGTTAATAGCTGAAAAGAGGACAATCCGTCGATTTCCTCTATCAACTACATACAATACATCTCGATCTAATGCTAGT